ACAAATAATGAATGGCCAAACTATTTCTGAAGTCTGTGCCTTTAATGCTCAAAGCAAAGTTCATCAGAACTTACACAAAACATGAATATGTCACTAACTTCCTCTCAAAATTCTACCCTCTCACTTGTATCTTCTAAAGATTAAAGACACATGCTCTTAGGAGCATTCCACTCTCACTGGAAATAATATTTACAGAGACTTTGACTCTTTCTTTCCAGTAAGATTGTCACCTGTTTGGTGCTTACCCCTGGCATATCCTTCTCACACTGTATCATCAGTACCTACTGACTTCTCTGTCCTCCTTGGCTTGAAGGCAAAGACTGTGTCTTACTTGGCTCCATGTCTCTGGTATCTGGCACAGGGCCTGGCACACAACGGCTACTTGATAATATTTGTGGGAAGAAGAAAAGAAGGGAAAAAAAGAGCTCAGTCCATTTAGAGATTGATACAGTTGGGGTATATTTAAGTATAATGACATATAGGGATGACCTCAGTAACTAAAGAGAAAAGCTGAACAGCTTCTCAGCACATACAGCAAATAATGAAGGTGATCAAGAACCTTCCATCCTTTGACATTAGTACCGGTGAGTTATAGGTTAAAATCCTAAAGCTGGATTAGAAAGTTCTTTAACTTTTTTCCTGATGATACAAGTAGTGCATGTTTACTATGGAAGTTTTGCAAAAATACAGAAAATAAACATCACCTGTAATTCTACCACGGAGAGACAACCACCATTAACATTTAGTCTTTTTTTAGTCTTAGTTTACTTTTAGCCTTTTTTCTTTACATTTTGATTAAAAAGTTTAGAAGAGATTATATCAGAACTGCTTGTGAGTATAAAGAAGGTAAATTGCAATTGGAAAAATACTTGTGAACTACAATAAAAATTTGAGACGCTTTTTAAATTGTTGCTCATTTGGGCAGTCAATTCCTCAGAATTCCATTCCAAATTTTCTTCAGGGGAATATGATCTCTCACCTAGAAAGCTCTAGGAGTGCTTTTCTTATTGCTCCTGTGCTGGGACTCTGCGTGAGCACTTTTATCTTCCAAGGGTTAGGCCAGGCTTGAACCTCTGATAAGGACAGTTCAGGACTGACTTGAACTGAATGAGAGTCAATACCCAGAATGGATTTTTTTCCCCACCTTGTGAAATATTGCTCAGATAACATCACCTTTGAAAGAAGCAAGGATATTTACTAGTTTATTTCTTAGTTTAATAAACATACTGACCACTTTCTATGTGTCAGTCACTCAGTTAGATATCAAAACCTCAAAGTGAATACATAATCCTTGTCCTCAGGGAACATGCAGTTTAATGAGGGAAAAAGAAAAGTAAACGAGAATTATAATGCAGTATAACCAATACTGTAATAGAAATACAGTTATGGCCTAAAGAAGAGAGTGAGCAGAATTGATCAGAGAAGGCTTGAAGAAGGGGAAATGATTGAGTCGAGTCTTAATGGAAAAGTGGAGGTTTTTTATGCAAACAGGCAGAGGGAACAGCATGTCCAATGTCTGAAGACATGAAGGCACATACCCCTTTGGGAAAAGTAAGTAGTTTGGCATATCTGGAACAAGAGGTACATTAGAGGTGGCAAACGAGGCCCAGTGGTGAAGAACTTGAATGACAGAGCTTGAACTTTATCTTACAGGCCACAGGAAGCCACTGAGGGGCTTTAATCAAGAGCAGAGACACAGTCTGGTATACTTTTTGGAGAAATTAGTAGAAAGGATGGAGGGAAATGGGCTAAGTTGGAGGAAGGGATTTGGTTTGGGGACTATCAAAACAGTCCCAGCAAAAGATGATAGGCAGACGTACAGAAAAGCAAATCTGTAGAGACAGAAAGTAACTTAGTGGCTGCCTAGGGCTGGAGGGTGTTAGAGCCGATTCTCCTCGGCCCCAGGAACAGAGAGGCAGAGTCACCGAGGCTGCAAATGGCAAAGGAGTTTATTGGCTAGCTCGAGCTAGGGTCCAAGTCCCAGAGCACCAACGCAGTGGCCTCTTCTAAGGGCTAGGACCCCGCCTTGGGGTAGAGGTTAAGCTTTTATACCTTTTTCTGTTTTACACACGACACACAGGTTTCACACGACACGCTGGGCACGCCTTCCCCCCCCCCCTTAGTTCATTGGTTCCTTTAAAAGTGGCTGATCGTGTTGGCTCCTGATTGGCTCCTTTAAAAGTGGCTTCAAGCCTCAGGATTTTCACGCCAGCGCCAATTGTGGTCAGCGTCAGTTTGGGGGGAAAGGGCTGCGTCGTTTCGGGAAAACCAAAACTTAGGCCTACTCCAGGAAGTTCAGCCTGTCATGGAGTCACTCCTGCTCTTATTCCTGTTTCTGATTGACTATATTTAACAAACAACTAAAAGCAAGCACAGTCACAGAAGCAAATAGCATTAGTTACAATCAAAGAGAACACATTTTTTTAATTTTAAACAATTTGTTTTATACAAAACAAAGTACATTCTCCTACTATCAATTCCTGTCTTTCAAGGGGGAGCAGGGAGTGATTTTGAATGGGCATCAAGGGTCTTCTGGGGTGATGGAAATGTTCTAAAATTAGATTGTGGTGATGGCTGCAGAGCTCTGTTAATTTTCTAAGTATCATTGATTTGTACATACAACATGAGTGAATTTTGTGGTATGTAAATTATATGTCAATAAAAGTCTTTTTATTTTTTATTTTATTTTTTTTTTTGAGACAGAGTCTCGCTTTGTTGCCCTGGCTAGAGTGAGTGCCGTGGTGTCAGCCTAGCTCTCAGCAACCTCAAACTCCTGAGCTCAAGCAATCCTTCTGCCTCAGCCTCCCAAGTAGCTGGGACTACAGGCATGTGCCACTATGGCCAGCTAATTTTTTCTATATATATATATTTTTAGTTGCCCAGATAATTTCTTTCTATTTTTTGGTAGAGACAGGGTCTCACTCTTGCTCAGGCTGGTCTAGAACTCCTGACCTTGAGCGATCCACCCACCTCGGGCTCCCAGAGTATTAGGATTACAGGCGTGAGCCACCGCACCCGGCCAATAAAGGTCTTTTTAAAAGCAGGGTTTGAGGAGGCAGGCATCTCCTCATTGAGAGGAGATAAGGAGAGAAATGTTAAAAACAAAGTGAATTTGTAAGAGTTAGACACTGATTGTATGAGATAGGATGGTCATCTATCTGTTCAGCCAAGCGTCCTAATTGTGCTTCTACATTTTGTAACAAAGTGGCAACCCTGCCTCTTTCTTGGTAGATTTCAGAGCCTGTGGATCTGCCCTTAACTAGCAGTACGGAATAGCTACCTTGGAAACCACATCCTCCAGCTCTCTGCTACTCAGTTCTTAGTAAACTCGTGGTTGTGAGAAAAACTATTTATGAAGGATTGCCTGAAGGATTTGTGATCCATTCATTTCTCGATGCTTTGTTATTCAGCAAATAGTTGTCGAGTGCCAGGTGTAATGTTGGTAAAGTAGTGGTGAATACAGTAGAGATGGTGCCTGCTTTTATGCAGCTTATAGTCTAGCAGTGGGAATAGATGTTTTTTATAGTTATGACAACTATTGTGTTGGATTTCCATGTGCAATGAGAGAAAATGACATACAAACTGAGATCTGAGGATATTGCTGTGGTGAGGAGTGGCTGTAGACCCTGGTCCCGTGAGCATCCAAGGTGCGCACCTTTGTAGTGAGTGAGCCTTTTGAGTCTGGGGTCTCTAGGGTTATCTTGGGCCTTACATCATCTCGATACCCCTTATAATTGTTTTTACTAAATTAAACATTGGATTTATGCCATCATTTGGCATTGGCTCATGTAAGAAACAGCGTTACAAGATTCACAAGTACTTATTATAGAAATGTTGTAGAATATACAGTCTTCAACATCAGACAGCATCCCCTTTTTTAAGACTCACAAGAGAAAGTTCTCTCTCATCACCATATGGTATTTGCTTTTATGTTTTGGTCTTTTCGTTGCTCTGAAGCACCAGACTCTGTCTTGCTTCAGGTCTCCATATGGCCTTCTCTCTGCCTGGAAGGCCCCATTCCATTCTCATCGGGTTTGGTCTTCACTGATCTTTCAGCTGTGAGTTCCAGTGTCACTTCTTCAGGGCAGGCTTCCCCATCCAGCACCCGCTCCCATCTACTGAATCCGGTTCCTAAGATAAACTTTCATAGCACTCTCTTCGTTTCTCTTTTGTTTTCTTAGTTTCTAGTTAAATAATTTGTTCTTTAGTAACTTTTTTCTCTCCTAGACTGATAGCAGGGAGATCCATAGGATAGACACCATGCTTTTTCTGTTTGCTGTTGTATCTCAAAGTCATAGTATAGTAACTTGCGCATAGGGTTTACTGAACATTTGAATGAATGAAAGAATGAATGCATTGTGGGTACTGAATCTTTAACTGTTCATCTCCTTTTTCCTTTGCCTGTTTGGAAGCTCAGACCCTCCTTGATTCTACCTGCAGTGTTTGTGTAGGTCCTTGTGGCATGCATTTTGTGAGCTAACATTTCCCCCACTATCTGTTAATAATATTTTTCCTTTCTTTGACTTCGTTTTTTATTCTAGCTTCTACTGTAAATTCCTGTAATTACTGTAATTTGGGGGGGAAGAAATAATAAGCAATTGGGTATGTGAATAGAAAAAACGAGGTCAAAGGGGAAATGTTAGTGCCTTTAACCAGATGCAGGAGGGAAGTTTTATTTTGCCGTGTTTTAATTTTATTTTCACTAGGAGAAGGAAAAAGAAGTAAATTTGTCCCCTAATATGGCAGGAAGTGCCTCTGAAGAATGTGGAGTCTGTCCCTGCCCTTAGACGTTTCTCCCTGTGGGGGGGGACGAGGGGTGCTGGGCTCAGCAGGGCCCCCTGGCCAGTGGGCGGTGGGCATGTGGTCTGTGGAGTCTGGCTATACAGCTGAGTTCCTTCCAGTGGACTCTCCCTTGGGGAAGGGTTTGGGAAGAGCCAGTGGGAGCCTGTTTTTTTACTATAAGAAGGAAAAAGAAATGAACTTGTCCTCTTGTGTTACAGATTCAGTGGTTCTTTCCTTTGACTCCGCTGGACAAACACTAGGCTCAGGTACCAATTCTCCCCCTGTCATCTTTTCAACACTTGATACTGGCTGTATTTTTAGTGGAGCCTAATCAGGAGTGGGGTTTGGGGTGAGGGAAATGGAATATTTCAGAATTGTTGAAAAGTCTCAAGAAGCCTTTCTAGGGACTCATGGTCTAAGAAGCAGAAGAGGGATATAACATCCCAAAACTTTTCCAGTTTCTTTCACAGTGTGCTCTGAAGAGTTACAGTAGATGCTCCTTCTATATTCAGAATTGTCCAGGTTCATATAAAAGGATTGCTATTTTCTGTTCAGATGTCCTGTCTCAAAGACTGGGGCTGAAAGCACTGAGAGACCCCAAGTTCTGTGAATGCTGGAGCAGATAACCATCAGAGCTTTCCAGAAGAATTCCAGGCTGGTGGGAGCATCCCAGTTTCCTGAGAACATACACTTTGTTGCATGTTTATGTGCACGCCCTATATACCCAAGTACAGAACTCTTCCAGGAGAGGAGCATCACCGCTTTATTGTGCACTCATGCCAAAATGCACGTAGGCAAACCCACTCCCTCTCTTCCCTGTGTTCACAGTGCAGGACACACAAATTAGCTTCTTCCCTGCGTTCACAGTGCAGGACACACAAATTAGCACCCCTGCCCCTTTGACCCAGACCCAGTGGAATTTGGCTCTCGCATGTCTGAGGCAATTTACCTGCTCCACAGCTTGGAGCTTGCTGGCAGTGAGTGGGAAGAGAGGCTGCTTTGGTTCTTCAACTTGCTGCCTTTGGGTCCCTATGGGAGCCCCAGAATGACTTGACTTTGGGGTGAGAACATCTCTATGCATCAATCCTGTGTTTTTAGGTGAAGTTAGGTGGGCCTCATACCATGGGTGCTGCCTGTGAATACCAAGGAGAGACTTTGCTGGCCTGTTGAGAGTAGTTAATTCACTTTGCTTGCCTTAAATGTGATAGGTTGACATTTCACAAAACAGCCATGAAGTTTGGGCAGTTGTGGTAGAGTGGGCAAGAGGAAAGACATTCAGAGAATGTGATCACAGCTACCACTGTTTGCCGAGGGCCCACTGTGTCCCAGTACTTTGCTGAGTGCTTTACACACCTCTCAGTCATCCCTTACGATAGCTTTAATATCTAAAATTATATAATAGATAAAGAAACGAATGCTCGAAGATGTGAAGTAACGTGTTCAGGGACATTCATCTATCTCTGTCCAACTCTAGAGCCCATACTCTCTCCCTCACCAGTTTGCTATCTCATACCTTGCATGCTTGAGGTACCCACCACCAAAATGTTAAGGCAAGAGGAATCACTTTAAGGTAGAATGGACAGACAGAGTTCTTAAATAGACTCAAAAGCCATATCTATACTTATAGGAAAAGATCGATCAATTTTATTACATTAAAGTTAAGAATTTCTATTCATCGAAAGACTCCATTGAGAGAATGAAAATCCAGAATGAAAAAAGACATTTACAACACAAATAACCCACAAAGAACTACAAAATCAATAAAGAAACAACCCAGTACAGAAACAAGCAAAGACTTGAACAGGCGTTTCACAAAAGAGGAAATTCAAATGGCAAGTAAACCTATGAAACGGTATTTGATTGCATTAGTACTCGGGGAAATTCAAATTAGAATCACAGTGAGATATTGCTACACATCTACCAAAGAGCAAAACTTGAAAAGCTTGACAATTCCAGTGTTGGTAAGGATGTAGTATAGGGGTAACTCTGAGCCTTTACTGGTTGGAGGATAAATTGGTACAACAATTTTGGAAAAAACTATAGCAGTATGTTAGCTAAATTTTCATATACGCATACCTTATAACCTGGAAATTCCTCCTTTAGATATATTCCCCACAAAAATGAATAGTTATGTATACCAGACTATATGTGCAAGATACGTGTATAAGAATGTGCATAAGAGCATTGTTAATAATTTTCAAAAACCAGAAACAGTCCAAATACCTAACAGCAATAGAATAAATATGCAAACTGCATTATAGTCATACGGGGAACAGTAAAAATGAGCAAACCATAGATAGATGCAGCGACATGGATGAATTGTGAAGACATTGTTGGGTGAAAGAAGTTGAACAAAACAGAGTATATACTTTGTTTTTCCTTTTATATAACATTCAGAAACAGATGAAATTAAACCATATTTGTTTAGATGCATAATTCAATATTAAAACAATAAAGAAAAGCATGGAATTGAATTCTGTAATGCCTAGGGTGGTGGTATTCAAGGGAGTATGTTGAGGCATGGGCACTTGGGAGCTTCTAGAATGTCGATATGTTCTTTTTAGTGACCTGAGTGGAGTTACCTGGGTGTCCATTTTACAGTAACTTGTTAGCTGTACATTTAAGTTTTAGGTACTTTTCTATATATTTGTTATATTTTAATTTTTTTATACAAAGGGCATAATCTGTGTTGTCAGGCATGGGACAAGCTGTTTCTAGGAACAGAAGGGTCAGGAAGTAGCACTCTGTGTTGGGCTTACCAGGACAATCAAGGAGGAGGAGGAGGGGGGCAGCTAATATCTGTGGAGCATTTATTATGTGTCAAACAGAGTTTTAACCACTTTTGTGTGTACTAATTCACTTAAGCCTCACAGCAACCCTTTGAAATAGATACTGTTAAAATTAGCCCATTTTTCAGCTAAGCAAACTGATGTACGGAGAATTGAAATAACTTAATCACTATCAAATAGCAAGGACATGGCAGAGCCAGGATTGGAATTTAAGCACTCTGGCTCCAGAATCATATTCTTGCTTTCTATAGTCTTATGAATTTTCAGGAGGACTTTGGTCCTTGGCCGCCATCTCTCTTGGAGTTATAAACAGATCTTGGGATTAATCTGCAAATGACTGTGGACCATGGGATAAAGCTCCCGGGTTTATACATGGTCCTCAGTGAAAGCTGGCAAAGAATTAGGATGCAGATATTTTTCTGCCTAATTTCCTCTTAGTGGAAGATAGGTCAAATTGATTTAAAGTCGACTTTAAATGAGGACTGATTCTCAGCTTACCTATCATTCAGTCTTCCTGAACCACCACTGAGCTCCATGCCTAGTCCTACCTTATTCATGCTCTCATGGAATATTGGCAAGAGGCCAACAGTCTTGCTGTCTCATGCTTTGCAGTAGTCCTAAAAGGGAATGGCGAGGGGGAAGAGCTGGACAGAGGTCTTCACAGTGGCCACATTACGGTTCTATTTGGACAGAATTTACACAGCACTGGGCACACCACATGGCCAAAAAAGTTTTAGAACCTTAGCGAGATAACTTTGGAATTAATCCCCCTTTTACTTTCTTTCTATTAGTGTGGGTAATTAAAAGTAGGAATAAACGTTCCAGTTCCAGGTAAGATGGAGTGAACACACTCACCTTATCTCTGTTGCTGAATGCAGCTAAAGACCTGGGCAGAATGCATTTAGCAGCTATTTGAGGACTCTGAAACATAAATAGTAGCAGACAGATTGGGGAAGAATACCAGAATTCAATGTGTTACCAAACTGGCAGTGAATTTACCATCTTTCTTTCCGTGTCTCATGTCTTGGATTCAAGACAGCCCAAAACCCAGGAGTAAACACCGGGGTACAAACTGAGCTCCAGGAAAAGACCTCTAGTTATATCTCTGGGGTAGGAAAATGGTGGCCAAGTCTCAGACAGAGGGGGAAGTCCAAAGGGTTGTTTTTTCTTTCCTCTGTTACCTCCTGCCCCAGCCTTCAGGAAATCCCATGGTGGTGGTGGTGGTGGTGGTAGGGACAGGGGCAGCAGCAGGGCCTTCAAGCACCTAAAACTGAGGGAGGGGAACCTTCCTTTCTGATCAGAGGAGATATAGTCCCAAGAGAGTTGGCTGCAATTTTGGTTGTCTGCTTTCTCTTTGCCTTCCTGCTGCTTGGCCCCAGATTTAAGCATGGCCCAGGAAATTCATGGCAGAATGTGGTAACTAAAGCCCCAGCTTTCTGGCCAGCGACCAAGAAGGGAAAGCCCAAGGAACCAGAAGGCACAGAGGAGAAAAGGCCAAAGGGGAGCTCAGCAAAGTAATTCCTTACAGTTATTTATGAACTCCAGGCTAACCTGAGCTGTGCATTCATGCATCCGATGATTCTAAACAATATACCAAAGACTTTCAGAACTGAACTAAGGGATAGACCACTGCCCGAGTCCCAGCTTAGACACTGGGTGGCGCACATAGAGAACTCAATGAACAGGCTTTGAAAAATGGGACTGACATTAAAACCACAACCACAGAAGGCTAGGCAGGAAACTTGCTGCCGGAACCCAGTCTGGTCAATTGTCTGCTAAACAAAGATATCAACATTCTCCATTGGATTTAACATGTTAACTAATATGTGAGTTGTATTTAACTCACACTAGTTTTGACCATGGAGCCTCATGAAGCATATGTAACTCACACATCTCTACCCTGGGAGCCACATGAACTATTTTTCAAGATGCATATAACTCACGCACAGAAAACAATACAAAATAATACAGTTTTCATTAAATTAGAAAGGATCATTTTGTTTTAGAAGTTTTGTTCTATTTTTGTAATAAAACACCATGGCCCTGAGGAAAAAAAATTTTTTCTAGTGTGGCAGTCAATGTGTTAAACAATACCTGGAGTCTCATAACATAATATTCAAAATATCTAGGATGTAAGCCAAAATTAACCATTAAACAAAGAACCAGAAAAATTTAATTCTTATGGGAAATCAGCAGATGCCAATGCTAAGATGACACAGATGTTGGAGTAATCCAACAAAAACTTTAAAGTAGCTATTATAAAAGAGCTCCCCAAAGTAAAGGCACACACTGTTGAAACAAATGAAAAGCTAGACAGTCTTAGTAAAAAATGAAGAACCACATAGAGATATAAGAAGAGAAAAAATATAGTAATCGAAGTTTTAGAAACCCACTACATGAGTTCAATAACAAAATGGAAATGACAGAGGAAAGAGGTTAGTATACTTGAAAATAAAGCAATAGAAACTATCAAATCT